AGGCGTAGTTTAAACAGTCAGTGGTGTAGCCTAGTGGCAGAAGAGGAACACTTGCTGAAGAGACTGAGCCCCAGCTTCACTGGTGCTGTGCAGAGTTGTCCGCACCTCGCAGTAATTTATTACCGTTGATGAACCGCACAAAGAATATTTTATCGTTTTTAAATAGCCAGCTACTTGAAATAGACCTGCGAGGAACCGCGATGTGCATGCAATTGTCAGCAGCACGGAATGCACGCAAAACTCTGCACAAGACAGAGAGAGAGAGACTCAGTTTAGCTGAACTGACCCTGCCTATATTTGGGACAGGCCTTTAATTCCTTTTGAACAAAACTGAAACTACTATGAAACAGTTTATTTCAAACAGAATAATACTTGTATAAAAATGATCAAATAATATCAAATACACGTCATTCATTTGCTCTAGCTCTGACAGACAGCTTATGTGCTTTTATTTTGAAGTAACCTCACCACAACAACACAGTGCAGGATGAGAGAAGTTAGCAGACAGTGAGCGATGGACTTCACGTGACAAGATTCACAACTTGGATTAATTTTTATGAAAAGCTGTTTTGATTATTTTGATGGGTGGACCCTTACAGACTAAAGGAATATAAATAATCAAGTAAGGACACATTTGGACTTAACAAGCGCTTCAAAGGTAACTGCAGTCATCACTTTTTTCCCTTTCCTCTCTTGTACCAGGCAGGTTACACCGGTAAATCTATAAGAATTAGACTTTGGGTCTTGTTGTTTCCCTTAAATGAACTGAACTACTGAATTGTGGAGAATCCAACGATGTGTAGCATGTTCATACAGACATATTGAACATACTTTTAAACATTAATATTTGTATTAACAATTTAACCAGCTTAGAAGCAGCTAAAGCAGGCGACCCCGCAGGGTTTAAGAGGTTTTAAACATCCAAAGAACTTCTATAAAAACTAGACCAGGCGTTAAATTGAGGCAGGCGTTTATTTGTCAAAATGTGTTCCCACACCAGGCCAGTAAACGGGAAAGGCGGCTATTTGGGACTCTGCTATTAATTGAAGTTTTACGGTATATAAATGCTTAGTCGGGGACAGCCCTAGTTTGTATGTATTTTATCATTTGAAGCAGGAATAGCTTTGGTTTGGTGAGCACTTGAAAGCTCTTCTCTCTTCAAACGAGCGCTGTTCTGATTAATTTTTTGTTGATCAACTAATCGACTAATTCTTTTAGCTATAGTTCCTCCTAATTCATCCTCTTAGTTTCTTTGTTGTTATCGAAACCCCCCCCTAACAAAACTATGATGTTGCCTGGTGACACCCACACACTCGACTCCTTTTCGGAGCTATAGGTACAGCAACAGTCAGAGCCGTCCTCTCTGCAACGTGGCAACATGCAGTCACATGTGGGCGACCCTCTTGCTTTCAGGGGAAAACTCCAACATGCTATCACCACAACAGCACAGACTCTGGTTCCAGAGCCGCTGCTGTGCATTGAGGTGAGCTCAACTACTATTTATCTACTTGGATATATACTTGTAATGACCCCAACTTTAGACCCACCTACCCCCACCCCTTCCCACAAGAAGTATGACATTCCAGGTCCCTAGGGGCAGCTTTATAGCCAGGGATCAGCACACCACATCCATTGCCACCTACAACTAACCTTGCAGGCTTACATGGTGGCAGTCTCACATTACTTTCTGACAAGGCCCCGTGGATTTAGGCTCGGACACCAGGCACATCACACCTTCGTTTGAAGTCCCTACCAGGAGCTGTTCACCCCAACAACACGACTGCCAGGGCCACAGGGGCACACAACTCCCCAGCAGGATACGGTGGTAATTCTTAAAAGGGGATAATTAGATCTTCTTAAAAACAGTGAAAGGGCAAAAAAATCAAGGGCAAAATGACATCGACTTAGAGCTGTGCATGTATCCTGCATCAGTAATGTATGTGCATCATTAATAAAGGCAAACAGCTAGAGCTACGTTTTGAAAGATGATGCTGCCAGGCAGAAGTAAACACAACATTAGGACCTATATTGTTATTGTACCCATCAGAAATAGTTATATTTAAAATTAAGTTTTCAAAATGCGTGCAGCTTTCCAGGGTGGAAAACTAAATGTATTTTTCCAACGGCAGACGTGGTTTGTTTATTTGACGATTCAACCAAGACTTTCATTAATTTACCCCAAACAGCGATTTGTTTACTGTTAAAGTGGCTGGCAGAGTGGACAAACTTTGCAGCCACAGTACAAATTAGATGCAACTTTATTGATTCCTGTGGGTAAAGTGGGCTTACTGCTATAAAGAAAGATCTATTGATAAAACAACAAGAGCAGACATGCTCAAGATAACTAATAATTACAACAAAATCAACATTTTTGAAGATGGTAGTGTACAACAAAGATAGCATTGCAGTGTCTTCATCAAGACAGTACAAAGAGGCAGACTGCCAATAAAAGAACATGGACAATACACAAATTACATGTGTAAAATCAATGAGGGATATTTTGATGAGTCAGTTAATGTGTGTGTGGGGGGAAGGTAGCCCAAAAATCCTGAATGATCCTCAACACACTGCACAAGCTCACAAAACAGAAACCTCTCTGCCCGCTTCACAGGGAAATCAAACATTTCTCTAAACGTGCCTTCAGTCTAAATGTCATCAGCTCTTCTAAATAAAACTCCTAAAAACTGTATATCTTGCCAATCTCATGACGCCTCAGGGTGATGGACAGCATTCTCAATCCAGTTTCTCAGAATTTCCTTCTCTTTCAGCCGTTTCTTGATTGAGTTTTTGAAAATGTGGGTGTTAGCTGGTCCTTCGAGACTTCACCCAGACTAAGAATGTGAAATTCATAGTCTGCTTTAAAAAGGTCATCTGGAAGTTTCAGTATCAATTACGACCAAAAGTAGTCGGCCTCATGAGATTCACTCCATTTCTGTAAACACAATACTTAGTATAATAAGACCTGTATATTATTACAATTAACCTTGGAGTAATATCTTAGAAGAATGATAATGAATTATCTGTCTGTCAAATGTAATGAAGATGTGGAGCTTATTCACAATCGACTCATTAGTACCAGTATGGGAGAAAACTTATTCACACATACTCTAAATCTTAGTCCAGCCATTACACCTTTGCTCTCTCCATACAGTCTCTGTTTCAGCATTCAAATGGCACGTTGACCATACTGACAACTATCACAAACCAATTAGCTGGAAGTGAAATAAAATATTCTCCATAAAAAATGGGCATCAAGGCTGTGTTATGGGAAATCTATTGGTTGACTGTAAAATTCACAGGTCAGAGTGGAAAAACGGTTTACAATTACCTCCAAATCTAGTGGACCCTAGCCAAAGATCACATCAGAACAGGAATAGCATTTTTTTTTAAATTCATCAGTCTTTTGGACTTGAATTAAAGTGAATGAGACTAAATAAATATCAACAGACACTGCTGCTAGTTTCACAGGTTGTCATTTTTTATTTCTGATTAGCTGTCAATCTCAAGAGATCAGGTCTTATATAATATGAGGCTGCCAGAGGGCAGATGCCAAGGGAGGTTTAGGTTTGGTTTAGATTTTGTCTCCATCTATTCATTACCTTAATAAACTGAAGCCAATGTACAGCTGTTGATATGAAAAATAGACGGCTGCCGTGCAGCTGAGTTTGCGACATGGCGGCCAAACAGTGGGGAGATGGCAGAAAGCTAGCCAAACTCACCTGGGTTTCTGGTTAGGCCCTCATATCTTCTTGTGTTGACAACAAAGGCATTTATGCATGTTTTGACCTGTTAGTTGCTGGTACAGTCTTTAGGCACAGTGGTAATTAAATCCCCTAAAATTAACAAATTATTTTACCAGCATTACCTGTGCCGTGACACTAGTGTGACTGTACCTTCACAACCCCTAAACGGAAGTACACATGCAGTAAAATGTCACAAACTGAGCTTTATCAAGCATTTATTGTCAAGTAGTCATACATTTAATTTTAGTTGTTGTTGCTGCAAACTGTCTGTTGGAATGACATCAGTCGGAATATCTGGATCATTATTAAAATAAAGTTGATCAATGTTCTTTTAAACTGTAAAATCTAACTTGCAAAACTAGGGGACGCCTTTATGAAACCAAAAAATAAAAATATGAATGTACCCCCTTTGATTTCAGATTTTTTTCCCCCAAAAGAGAAGAAAGGATGAGTGTATTTCTGGTAGAGCCTGACCGATAAATCAGCGAGCCAATATTATCAGCCCATACAAGCAGAAAAATCAGTATTGGTATTTATAACAGCCGATTAATGACTGAGAGACGGATCCTTCAATCATGTTATGAGTGTTGTCACTGCATTGTTTGCCCACCAGAGGGCACTCTGCAACTCCCCTGTTGGCAACACACGCATGTTTGGAACACCACAAAACACTACTACTACTTTTGTTCAAAGTACTATTAAAAAAAAGTTTAATTTTAAACCGCATAATGTCATGTTATCTTGGTGAGGTCTCTTAACTACAAATAACTCATATCAAAATCTGTGTCGGTCTTAAAAATCCCATATCGGTTGGGCCCTATTTTACAGAGAAGATATGTATGCTGTAGCAGACAAAAAAATTATTTTCACATTGACTTTTTGGAAGGAGACTTGTAGTTTATGGTTAGGCCACTGCTCTACAAAAAGGCACGTTTCGGAAAAAGTTTTGCACCCTGCGCTATAAGAGCGTTCAAGTCAAGTTAATGGTCACTTTTGTGTTATGTGTATATTGTCCATATATGTTATGTGTAGATATGTGTATATTGTCCATATATGTCTATATGTGTGTGTACTATGCGTAGTTTGTGTGGAGAATTCATATTGAAGGTGCTCTTTGTACAGACTATGAAAGCAAATTTCCTCCACTGAGGACAATAAAGAATGAATCTGAGGCTTTTACCACAGTGACCAGTACTGTACAGATAATGAAATAATTTAAACAAAATAGTGTGTTCTGTCTTTGTTGCACCCTCTTACCATTCACTTGAAGAGTGTGCGTCTGAAAAAGTTTCTCGTAGCCTTCAGCATGACAGGTATAGTTGCCCATGTGAGTCGTGGTCACCTTGGTGATGTACAGTGAGCCATCATCCCCAAAGTCCTACCAGAGAGAGAAAGAGATAAAAATGTCTTAAAAACACAGAGAAAAGATTTGTGGTCTTGATGCAGCAGTAACAGTTGAAGGCGTGTGAAGCTGGAAATGAAGAGTTCTTGGTGGGAATGCAACAAGCCTGCCGTGTGCAGATGAGAAGATAAACATGTTTCATAGGATACAAAATGAAAAATATAACAATAGTCCAAAAAGGCACATTGTACAGCACTGTCCATCAATCTAAGTCAAAACTTAAAGCAATTTGGTGCAACAGAAAACAACTGTCAGAATCACAGTTAAGAAAAATTGTTTTCTGGTATGTGTCATTTTTCCAATCAGATGAAAGTGATCTGATGAAAAGGGACTGAGGCTATAATTGATTAGTGTAGAAATTACACTGTGTTAGCTGCTTTCAAAACAAAAACAGGGAAATATAGCGCTGCAGTCACACAGACAATCAAAACAACGTATGCTGCTATGTTACCCTTTTGTTAACATGCATGTCCCACAAACACACAAAACATGTTGCACTTCAATTCTCATGTGACCTATTTAAAGCAAAACAAAACATGTAATTAAACCAAAACCTATCCATGATGTTAACTTATGTAGAACCAGCAGAAACATGATTAATTCATGCTGTGTTGTGATTATTAAGCCAGTGAAGACAAAAAAATGGTGCTGGACAAGGAAAGAGAGCAACACACGAGAATACATTATTCAGCTGTAACACAGATAGAAGCCCCCAAAGCTAATGAGCCCATTGACGGTGTGTCGGTGTGATGAATACGTCTGGTGAAAAACCCATGTCTGCCACCCTGTTAAGATCACGCTGCAGTAAAAAGCCATCTTGACAAGTCATTGTGGCGATTTTTTTTGTACTATGAAGTCTTACAGTGGTATTATGTTCTTAAAAATTTTATAAAAATGGCATAGAAAAGAGGGGGTGTTGACTGTTTCCAATAAAGTCTACATTTTCTGTTCTGGGTCCATATTTTTGTTATTACTAGAAGCTACATTTTTGACTTGAGTGAAAGGTAAACATCTTTTACTCCTATTCATACGTGTGCAAGTTTAGCTCAGTTGGTACAGTACGGGACTCCCGTTTGGAAGGTCGCAGGATCGATTCCAACTTACTGTGGGAATTTTTTTTCTCTCTTGTTAAACAATTTGATTATAAGGACACTTTTGCACATGCTCACAATAAAGCATGTGCTGCAGTTTGTGTGCATCCCAACGTTTGATCCTATTTCATAAACCTGTGGAGACTTATTTTCATTTCCCTGTGGAAATTCAGGGGACTCCAATCACACATTTACTGACGGCTGATGGCTCAAGCAAGCCAGAGTCTCTTTTGAATGTCGTTCAGAACTCTTCAAAGTAAAAGTCATATAGCATTGCAGCACAAAAATTTGGCACAATCCGAGATCTATTTTAGCACCAGCCGCTATTTATTTATTTATTTTTCTGCTATCAAAGCAATCTGGCCGCGGGCCAGATATTATTGCTGGCCACTTATTGCCGACCACTGCTCTAGGGGTTTAAATGGCTACAGTACAGAGAGAGAGGCAAACACGCACCTTCTGAGACATGTTTTGGAATGACAATACAATATAACCACGATGAATAATTTGTTACCTCAAGCAATATGTAATTCAGAAATACAAAACAACAGTAATTAGGGTAGCACTGATTTTGTTCACAATCTCTTTCCATGCATTGTCCTTATCTGCACCTATGGTCTTGTTTCATGCTAAAGTTAGTGGGTTTTTTTGTTTTCATTTAAGCCAATTTTCTATAACCCGATTTAAATAGGAGGAAACAAAAAATCCAGGTGGCAATTCAAAATATAACAGAATATAAGGCTCTCAATCTGTATTGATCTCACTACAACCCCCCATACATTTTAACTTCTGCAACTCTGATAAAGTGCAGCCCTTAGTCCCAAACAGAGCAAGTTTGCACCTTAGTTTTTTGGTGTTTATATTGCAAAACTCTACCAGTTACGTTATCACTCTGTGACAAACTCACAGCGAGAAACAGGTTCTACTTCATTACTATTGTGGTGTACGCCATGTCGCATCAGCTGGGTGGAAATGATTTGCGCTGGAAGTTGACGTTATCAGTTCTACATTTGTTTTTCACTGAGTGAGAAAATTGATGTGTGGCGTGACAGCTTGTGAAAAGTGTCAATTGCGTTAGTCTTGTTTTAATATGGGTTGTGGCACAAGAACTCATCACAGCCCCACTATTTATACTTTGATATATTAGATATATATTAGGTTGTTGATAAAGTGGTCATATTATACTCATTTTCAGGTTTACAATTTTATTTAGGGGTTGTACCAGAAAAGGGTTACATGGTTTAAACATGTCACTGTGTGTGCTGTAGCTCAGTGTGTTTCTCCACCAGTGTGTCACAATAGCCGCTAGGCAAGCGTGTTACATAGGGATGCAGATAGTTTACGGAAGCAACAGCTGGACTACAATGGAGCTGTTTTCAGGCAGTTCAGGAGTAGTGTTTTCCGTGGGAGATAGTGTGGGACGTTAACTCCCATTGGGGTGGGCTTTTTTCACTTTGCAAACCTGTTACATGCACAAAAAAGATATATATAACACATTAAAGGTAAGGGAAAATGCATGGGATCTACTGTATGTGCGCTATCACTTAAGTAGTACTCTGAAAGGTTACTCTTATACTTTGCCATAAGTAGAAGTGAGACACTTCATATATGTCTTACTCTTCACTTTTACTCCTAAGTTGGCCCTGGTATAGTAATCAGTCTTAGTTGTTAGTCAATGTTAGTCAATTTTCACATAATTCTAATTTTATTGGAAAAAATTATCTAAGTTTAAATGTGTTTCTTAATTTGAGGGGGGGAAAAAAGTCATTTTTGCACATTAACTTAAATCTTCAGGGACTACTTAGAACAAAAGAACTGCCTGAATTCACAATAAAAGCTTTTCACCACTTCTGATGTACAGCTGCTCTTTAGAAATGAACATTCTCTGGCATTCAGCCTTCATTAAGGTTTTTTTTCAGTGCCCTCTAAGGCCATGTGCCAAAACTTGTTCATTCCTTATTGCTGCCATGCATTAAAAAATCATTCAGATATCTTTTAGTGGTGTGAACTTTTGCTCTTAAGAATGTCCATGAGTCTGGTGCCATGCTCCTCCTTTCTTTTAACTCAACACAGCATTATATTATTAAATAGGAAAAAAAGATAGCAGCCCTAATTACCAGTCCTCTTTCACAAGTTCATAACAAAAGAATGCCTCTTTTCCTCAAACAGCTTTTAACATTTCGTTCACATCTTTGCTGGCTGTTTACATCTTGGCATTCAGCTTCCCCTTAAATGTCTACAGACAAGCGAGGAGAGTCAGCCATCGTGTTTACAGGCATACAGTGTGTTTATCAGTTCGCCTTGGTGTGCGCCGATCTAACCTACGAGTTTGGTAACAGCTCAGGCTGAGTGAAGCATCAGAGCTTCACAATATGAGGGGAAATCGATGGTGCGTTTTGGCCCCTTGGGCTGAGAGCATATTGTGTCACCTTCTTAAATGAAAAATGAATGGGGGGGGGGAAATGAAACTCAGAGGGGTGGAACGAGCCACGACGGAGGCTCGACATGATTCCTCCACCTCGCCACACCACCCTCACCTCAGCTATCAGCAGCACCCAGCTCTCTGCAGACTAAGCAGGCCAGTGTACAACTACTCAGAGGGAAAGGAGACAAGGGCAGGTAGAGGTGGATTTACAAATAGGCCATAGCCCTCAAGAAACTATAATTAATAAAGCTGTCAGTGCCAGGCCACCACTGAAAGGACACTAAAGAGCCACCTCATTGAATAGCTAACCTATGGTAGTGACGAGGCATTTCAGAAAATGGCCTTTGTAGAAGTTTCTAGCCTGGCCTTATGAAACTTTGTACACACCGCAGGGTATTTTCACTCAACATATTGTGTTCCTCTCAAAAACAGTGACAGAAACAGGTTTCCCCACAATGAAAACATATCAAGGCAACACAACTAAAAAACAGGGGGTAGTTTGACATTAAACGCCTGGTTTACCCAAATTACAAAAATCACATTTTCTCACTTACCTCATGGAGTATCTAGCTACACAGATTGTTGTATTGTGTGTGCCAATGTATGAGATTTCTGCTGCTAAAATCTCTGCCTCCACCCCAATATAAAGGAGCTAAATGTCATTTTATTTTTGGTGCTCACAGCTTTGAAAAATGACATTTAAAAAAGATTAAGCACCATGAGTTTTTCAAGAAACTTTTTACGCCTTTACTCTGCATCATCCACGGACGTCCCCCTCAACAGTTTACACTGGAACTACTTTTTAACCCCCCCCCAAAAAAAACAAAATCCCAGAGCAAACCTTGTTGATAGTGCAAGATTATGTAGAGTAATTGGGACATTTCCAAGTAAGTGAGCATCAGAAACAAAATTCTGTTTACCTCCTTTGAGACAGAGATCTAAAAATCTTGTCATAAAACCAAGACTATCTGCATGGCTTTGTTTCCACCAGAGGTAGGTGAAATGTGTTTTTCTTATAGTTAGGGTAAAGCTGCCATTTAAAATAGTGGGAAGACTATATTTCTGATGGAAATTATACATTAGCTTTTAACTCAAATCAAGTATAAATTCTCAACATATGCAAATAATTTTTGAGTCTTTGTGTGATGCTTTAATTTCTGCAGAAAGTTATTTTGTTTTCTGGTATTACAATTAACAAATGTAATCCTTAAAGGGCAAGTCTGGTGATATTCTATATTTTTTTATTCACAGTTAAAGACCTAAACCCACAATGTATTCATACTACTAACCTGATTATGTAAAGCTTGATATAGCTTATTTCTCTGCGTCACAGACATCCATGAACACAGCCTCTGCTGTTTCTTCTACCCAGCTGCTTAGGAAATTATTTAGCCTTTTTTAAAAATGAAGTTTATATTTATGACCCGTGTTTGAAGATTTACATCTTTAATAGGAATGAAAATGCTTCAGGCTGAGAGTCACAGACAGGCTAAGGAAGTGAAAGCAGACCAAGCAAAAGCATGGTTGGTTTTAGTTTCCGGATTTGTTGACAATTACAAAAATACACAATATCACCAGGATTACCCTTGGTCCTTTGCTTTAGCCAGATTGTTTTTGCAATTGATGCAGTTGCTATGGAATTCATTTGCAGGATGTTCTACTTATTTAATGACCTCAGCCTGTGTATTTGTGACCATGCATTTGCTGTAGGCTCCTCACTAGCTTTGTGGGCTTTATGTAAATGGAACAAACAAGCAAAAAAGTGAAAAGTGAAGCAATGCCAGTCTGTTGAGATAAAAAAACACCCTACCTGGGACGGGATCTGTTGGAGAGAAAAACAAGTCAGAGATTTAGCTCAATGAAATCATTAAGGTATAAGAAACATATTTGAAAGAAGATAGGTGACAACACTGCTGACGTTGTCGTGGGATATACCTCAATGTAGATCTAATGTCAGGATAACATATGAGAAGTACAGATGAGTACAAATCAACAAAAAAAACCCCATCTTGATAGAAGTTAAAATTAAAACAGGCCACTGTGATTCAGTAAGATTCATGTGTTATCTGCTGTATAATGTTGCACAGAAATTATAAAAATTGTATCACATGAGCCGGTATGCACTGATCAAAACTGAATGTAATTTTATAAATAATCACATGCATTTAATGTTACTTATGGTCCATCTCCACAATGCAAAGATAACCTGAAACCCACCAGAATAAGGCACCAAAGCTTTATGGGAGAGAAAACACCTATTCTAATGGACAAGATAAGAAAGAAGAAAAACAAAGATTTCACTGAGATTGCACTGCTTCCTGAGTTATATCTATTCCTGTTGACGCTGCAGTCCTAAAAACATATTTTCTATTTTTAATGATGACATGTTTTTTCATGATTGAATTCGAAGATATTGGTTCTAAATCAGATATATGTTTATAGTGACCTTGCAAGCTGATTTACCAACTGGGACGCATAACCCCAAAAAGTAGCTGATGAATACATACAAACTTCACAGTCTATCTCCAAAATACATTTTGACATTGTTGGATTTCCAAACTTTTTAAGAATTGCAAAACATCAAATTTATTTCTAAAACCATTTCTGGGACCACTGAATCGGCATCCCTAAGCACAAACATGAGTGTTGACACACACAAGCGCGCACACACACACACACACACACACACACACACGCACACCACAACTGTGTCTTTGGCTCGGCCACTCAGGGAGGATTGAAATACTGACAGCCTTGGATGATGATGCAATAGCCAGCAACTGTCAACTTCATGGAATTACAGTAAGCTGCTTTGTCAAAATTTAGAGAGGCATTATTGAACTCCAGGATACAAGCGCACCACTGGGATTAATGTGCGATTTGCTAAGTCTGAATGTCGACAAAATTTTGTAAAATAACCACATTCTAAACTGGGAAGGCCTGTGAGATTAGAATGCATAAACCTCCCATGTGTACCCACAGGAATATGACTAATTAAGGCTGGCAGTGGATACTAACAAATATTAACAGCCAGCAATTATACAGAAATTGTCTGCAAGGCAATTTAGAATTAGTCTGTGGATGCCAGGTGCAGACAAAATCCATTCTCTTCTCTGGAAGGAACAACAATGATTGACTGGAAGTTAGAGAGACAAAAATAAATCTGGATTAAGCCGCTGTTGGTGTGCCGCTTGTGTACCATTGCTAGTTTCTCATCGTGCTGCATGGCTTACACACAGGTTCCTGATGAGTCACAAGAGACTGTTACTGCTCATGCTGACTCACTTGCTGGTTGTGTTCAGTGTTGCAGCTGCTCTGGAGGTAATCGGTGCACTAGCAGAGGTTGTAAACTCAGTCTTTGTCAGACACCAACCAAAAAATCAAATCTGACAATCGCAGACCTCCAGGGTCAATGTACAGTGAGTTCTCTCAGTCTGAGGTGACAGATTAGTCCCTGTTGTAGTTAAACTCAGTCTCACTTCATGAAGCCGCACTGGCATCATCCCAACAGAGAAAATGTAATTTTATGCCACAGCATTAAATACCAGCTTTATAAAGATCCTGGGAGTACCAAAGTGGTTCAGGATTAATTAAAATGCAAACTGTTAGTTGCATTTTTCTTACTGCCCTGTTCTATCTATGATGTATAACTCAAGTAACTCAAGTTATGAGTGATCTGGACTGAAATTAAATGTTGATGTTTTCTCCAGGACAATGAAGGCTGCAAACCACAAAAAGCCAAGCTCTGATTGATTACCAACACAGTCTGTTCTCCTTTCCACTGTCTCAATAAAGGAGAAAAATGAAGACTATGATTCTATAGTGAAAAGGTGAAAAAAAGGATAATAGTTCATTTCAAGTCCTTGCTCTATCTCCTGTAATTATCCCAGCTTTGATGAACTTCAGACAAGGCTTTTTTGCTATAATGGATATACTGAACAGCATTTGACAGCAGAAGCTTTCATCTATGAGTGGACATTTCATTTGAAAATACACCTGTGCAAGATCTGATATTAGTCACCAGGAAACTGATGACGTGTGTGAAGTGCAGACAAAGACCACCCCTGGTCGGGACACTGAACTCCGCTATGCGTCTTCAGGCAATATCAAGAGATGAAACAAAAACTAGTTCTACTTAATTTGTAAAAAAAGAAATAAGTAAAACACATGAAAGAAAAAAATCAAAGCCTGCGTTGACCTTATAAGACCTTGTACCTCCCATAAATCCTCCAAAAGATATTCAGAGTGTTTTAAAGACATAATCTGACTTGACATTTCTTTTCTTGCTTAACCAGCACATGCATACATCTTTCTTAACAGCAAAACATATTATAGGAAATGACTAAACAAGGCAAATGGTGGAGAGGATGTTACACATATGCACAACCTAAAAATAATCTCACAGAGCTGGCGCCAATCTTTATGGGAATCACACTTCACCAGCAACCAGAACCAGCGTGCTAGTCTACAGCCAGTTGATGGTGCCAAGGATGACTGGCGACAGCTGGGTGCCTCTTACTCATTTTAAGGGTCATCAACATTTAATGTTACATTAGTGGCTTCGCTGGGTCTCCCTTTATCTACTGCGACAGTGTTGACTTAATTATGCAGAGCAGTATCGCACTCATCTTGGTCAGCTTTGACACACAGAGAAAAAAGGGGTAAGGAGGTCTTCCTTTTCTGTACCTCGACACATAAGTGTCCCTGTTCCTTTTGATGTGAATGAAAGTGACACAGAGCACTGTTTGGGGCCGTGCACGCGGATTAACACACACACAGACAGACACATACACGTGCGCGCACACACACACACACACACACAGTCTTTCACTGAGTTGTAAAAGTAGGTCCATCCTCTAGGGCTGAACCCCTTTGGTATCCCCCTTCATCTTCTTTCTTTGTCTGAAATCCCTGTCCCTCCTAGCAGTCTCTAAACACAGAAACCAAGAACACAAACTGACATCCTGGATTACTGTCAGACCTACAATACAAAGCCAGCGCCAACAGTCAAATAAAATGTGCTGACAATCTGAGCCACTGCCATAAAAATAAAGTTGAAATATGATGAGAAAGAAATATAGTATGAAATTATCTGAAATTTACAGCTTGCAAAAAAGGGGACGGCTCTGAAACAGTCATTAAGAACTGATGATGCTTGACAACGTGAAAAGCAATAATTATACCTGTTCACTGCATGTGTTAGAGCCATTCAACTATACATCCCATTATGTATCTATCTACCTACCAATGTATCATGTGTCCATGGTATACCATATCTACGTATGTATCCTAGTTATTTACCCATTTATCCACCCATCTATCTATTTATAAACAAGAAATCAAAGAGTGTGATGGCAGCTGGCTCTTACGTTGATGTCTTCCAGGTTCAAGGAGTTCAGATATTGATTGTTTCTCTTCCATAATATAGGAGGCCTCCGCTCCCCTGTGATGGCACAAGTCATTACGGCACTCTGGCCCACTGTTACGGTGGTGACGCTCACTTTCTGGTCATCCGGAAGGGTGAGTAGGTACACATCTGTTGACAAGAGGAAAAATGACAGAACGTGAGGACTAACTCAATTTAAGTTTTGGGACATTAAAAATATTGTGTAGTAAAAGTGGCAACATTTCCAGTTCTTTGTAAAACTTTTAATTTAACTAAGTTAGCTTGAACAAGTCTGAGTCTGCCTTTACTTTATATCTGAAATATGATGGACCTCTCTTTCTTGTAGCAGCTCATAATTCAGAGGAATAAACTCACAGATATTCATTTTGTGCCCACATTTTTCTCTTACTGAGAACAAGAATACAATATTCAAGAGTGTCTCAATTAGAAGCTGCTGTGAAATAGAGGCAGATGTTTTTTTGGTTAAAGATGCACTGAGGCAGCACAATTATTGCAATTTGCAAAGTAATAGGAAGGAATTAAGTTAAATGTTCTGTAAATACTTTGCATAATTCAGGTAATGTTACTAGAAAGTTCTACTTTATTTGTTTCTGAGGATCCAGCACTATGTACCTCTTATATTATACCTTAAAGCACAAAACAGACACTTTTGGGAGGCACTAGTGCAGCTGGTCTGCTGACTGTTGAAATCACATCTGAAGCACACTGCTTTGTAACTAGAAGTTGGAATATTTTTAACATGCTCAGTGTTCTGAGGCTTTAAAACAAGGTAGATTCTCTGCGTTGTTGTAAAAGCCCAGGAGTGCATCCTTTCTGATGAAAGTAACATGGAGGGGAAAAAAGCCTACGCTGCCAGAGAGGTTCCCCATGGACACACAGCCCTAGACCTCGACCAGAGTCAGTGATTTGCTCGATTCAGTATTCCTGCAATACCTAAAAGTTTTTAAACGTGTGACTGGTGATGATGAAATGTGGTTGTGTTCTCTACATAAAATTTTTTGCCATTACTGACAGCAAATATTGCCACAAAGAAAAGCCGAAGTGGGTTGGTGAGAGGTCAGCATGGCTATGGTTGGTTGATGCCTTTTGTGTGTCCAGTATTTTGATGAGACAATGAGTACAATGTACACTCATTCGTTCTTTGGTGGTATTATGTAATGCGGGCTATGAGAGAATGCTTTTTAATCTTTCTCTAGGGTAATGAGCAACAGAGCAAAAGGAAACAGAGACTCAATTTGTTCTGCTCCTAAGGGCATGAAATACAAAACCTAATGAAAGAGCAGGTCCAGCAGACAGCGTTCACTTGCCACAACCCAGAGAATGAGGATGAGAGCACCTTCAATTACAGCATGACTCCACCGGCCCTGTACCAATGGCCCTCTGAATGCTTTTTTTAACCTTCTAACTCATTTGCTGTGTTTGCTCCACTTGTTGTTTCTTTGAACTGTGAACTCCGCTAGCCCTTTTGATCCAGGCCAATCAGACTGGAGCCATGAGACAACACATACTTCTTTTCAGTGGGAAGCTCCGAGTTAAGACTTCTAATCTCTCATTTGGCCCAATGAAACCCTTCTTGAGCCCGGGCAAAGCTCTGCAAGGATTACATCAAAATTAGAGGATTAATAACAGCCGTTTCTTCTGGGTAGAGTATAACTCTAAACTGATCCAACTATCCAACTCTGTGGTAATTTGTGAGGCATTAGTTTGCTCTGGTGTTGTGTTAAAAAAAAACATGAATTTAACGGTTTATTTTGATTTGAAAATATAACAAACTGACAAAAGATCAATAACACAAAAAACCCCGCTATAAATCGGTTTTTAAAAATACATTTAGCAGCACATATAAAGTGCTTTAACCATTAATTTTGTTATTTTTTACTTGGAGCGCATAATCAGCAGTTCATTTGCATTTTTAATATTTTCATTTCTTATTTTTATCTTCACTTTATATTAATAATATCATTCTAACTTTCTAGCATTTCTGCATGAAAACACACAAGTTTCGGGTACACATGGACCTAAAATCTAGGTCAAAATCACTTTTACCCAGGCTGCTATTTTCTTATTATTAAAAAAAAAACTGTTTCTGCTTAACAGCAGGGCTGTACAGTCTGACATATGTGCAATGAATGAAATTACCGCAATAGCATACAGCTGTGAAATAGAGCCCCTTGTTTGTGTGAGGTGAGAGTTTGTGTGCTTGTTTGTGTGTGAGGTGAATCATTGCCGTCATGAATCATCTCGTTAGACAACCCAGTGTTGTAAAATGATAAATAAATCTACCCTATTCTACTTGGTAGTTGTAGTCTATCTTGCGAATAAAAATCATGTCCCTGGCTGCGTAAAGTCCATACATTCAACAACAATTCCGATAATTCCTGTACAGTTGTCTCTATGTTGTTTCCTCAGCGATTAAAGCTAGATGATGAGAAAATGAAGCGGTATTTTTCAAGTTTTCAACCAAATCCCAAACGAGCTTGCGAGAAAGAAAGAAATTACACTGCCAAATGAAAATTAGGTCTAAAAGAAAGGGAACATTTATCGATATAATGCAGAGTAGAAAAAGGATTCCCCTCTCACTTTAGATGAGGAACAGCAGCTCTTGTTCTGTTGCAAGTAGGCTCCAGAAAAGATTTGAGGAAACAACCCTTACCTGACGGGTAATTTTAAAAACGGATCATGTAAAAAAAATACAGGAGTTATTGGTTTAAATCTTGTAAGGTCTGTTCGTAAATATTGTTTTGTATTTAATGAATAGCCTGTATAATCAGTCATTTTAAGTGATACCTGCCCACAGACCCTATTTGTGACCAATGACTTGAATCTGTTGTGTTCTGTTAAAGAACAAAGAAATCATTTGGATTCTAGTTTTAGTTCTTACACTGCTTCCCATGTTTGTTAGTGTAAATCACTAGTAAGAGAACACAAACTTTACATATACTGTATGATCCAAATTTATTTAATATACATAATACTGTATGTATGATGATAAAAATGTACTGATTAATGTTTTGTATAGCAAGAGATGTTATGTTCCCCCAATTTACCATTATGGGAAAATAAAGAAACTGTTTGTCTGAAAACATTTCTTGTTAACGTTTGCATTTTGTTTGCCCTGTATGCAACATTGTCTTTTACCAGTCACATTCCTGTGAAAGTGACAGACTGCACTACTTGTGGTTGTTTTTAGAGATGGTAAAAAAACATTTTATACTCATGCTACAACTTTAAGACCTTTGCTACAAAACTTTTAACTGCTGTAGCAACAGTGCTAGGTGCAAAAAAAGTTAACGTACAGCCCTGTCCAGTGTAATGTAATTTGATGCAACACCATTACTGTTGACCTCAAAAACAAAGAGTGGTTAGGCAACCCCCCTGTGATGGAGTTGACAAAAATGTAAGATCGGCTCCATGAAGCCAGTGTATATTGCCAGACTATTGCAGAGTGTAATATACTTTATATTAAAGGTGTTCTTGTTGCAGTGTCCACTGCCATATATGTGTGTATGTGTACATGTATGTGATCTTCAGATTTAATAGTCATTTTAAACTCAATTCTTCTTGTGTGTGGATGATTCTCTTTTTATTTAGTTTTTAACTATAGTACTTTGACATTATTATTACGCATACCAAATCATCTCACTTACACAAAAGAAGAAATGAGAAAGCAGTTCAAACATTCATCAATAAACCAACCAGTCTTTCATTTCTAAAAAGCTAACAAGAACTTATTCATTCATTAGTCAGTCTCTTTTACTGGTTGATGATAAAAATGTTTTGTGATGGACTGCACGGAGGGAGATTCTACTTGTATTGATCAAGAAAAGGAAGGGTTTCAACGTCACATGAAAAGCAATAACCAACTCATAAAAGGACTGAAACATTTCCCGTGCGGACATCATAATGCGACAGTAATAATTTGTAACACATTTGATGAGTTAAGAGCTGTTTGTATATAATAAAGACACAACAGCAGCAGTCAGCAGGGGTGACATGAGAGCCAATCTGGACAGAGAAAAAAAATAACTGGAAAGAAATGAAAACTGTTGAAGAACAACAGGGAACAAAACTTCCCTGTTCCTCATTAAAACTGTATTTTATCCAGTGAGGCTATGGTGCAGCAACTTTAGTTCTGTTCGAGTTCAACAGAAAGAAGCATTTTCAGCTATTTTTAAAGACGTTTTAACAACAAGCAATAAAGTGGATTGCAGCATCCACCCTAATGTAGACATTGTAGAACTATCCTACTTGTAAAATATTAATTTCTGTTGGACTTTTCTCAACTGGCAAGATGGAATAACTTCAAACAATAGAGCTAAAGCACAAACTCTCTGAAACTGAGGTGAGTAAGTACTACTTCCAGAGAAAGCTGAACTAAAACCAGTCAGTTACCAATCAGTTCTATTGGTAAAGGTAACATTGTACTCAAAGTAACTGGTTCTCGAAGAGACAGGAGCATCTATAGCTAGTTTCAGACAGATGCTGAAATGAGGGCCTGCATGAAGCGACAGTATAAGATAGAAAATTATTTTTTTGAACTGAATCATGCAAAGCTACCATAGATGAGTCAAAGAACTACAATATATGCAGTATAATAGGTTACCTTTAACAGTTAAATGCTGTAAGAAAATACTGGGCTAAGTGTTGACGTCAATTAACTAAATTAATGTCAATTAAAAAGAACCAAAACAAATAAAATGCAAACAAATATGAAATAAGGAGAACACATTTAAGAAAGTAAAAAACATTACATCAGCCTTGATGCAGGAAGGGAAGAATTAAGGAAAGTGGATCTCTTCCATCACTCACGCATGACTAATCCATGATAGCTCTCCTCCTCTGACACTAATAACACTATAGCCAGCAAATCAAAACACCATGCAGCCACTTGGTGCTCTTCGTGGTGTTAGGGTGGATACGCTGACAAAAATCTCCTTCAATAATGTCCTCCCTAACCATTCAATTACAGCCCCCTTGTATCTTAATGCTTTTGGAATACGCTGCAAGCAACAAACTCGATTTGCCGCTGATCCCGGGGGGTGGGGGGTGGGAGCTAGAAATGTGTGAAGTTATAGGGAGAATTTAAAGAAGAAAGTGGGCAGACTAGGCACGCTCCATCATAGCTTTAG